GAGTTGCAGAGGTAAAATGTCTGCTACTCTGAGAGGGGAAGGAATGAGACCCAAATGAGAAAACTATGGTTTCCATGAAGCTCTGGGCATCTGTGGGGTGCCCCTGCCATATAGGGTCCAGTCAAGGGATGCATTTGCACTACCTTGGCACTTCTGCTGGATTTGGGTCCCAGCTGTAGCCTGCTCCCCTGGCAGGGCACCTCCAATGCTGTCAGCTCCAGACGACAGACATATGCAGCTCTGTGACATTGCCACACTCCTAGTGGGCATGCAAAAAAGCTGTCCTCTGGCTGCGGCTTACTGTTTACCTGGAGTCTGGTGTCACTGTAATTAGAGGAAATGACAGGTGAGCTTGAGGGCAGCGTGCGGTGAGCACATGTCCAGGATAATTACAGCGCACCACCCAGCCCTCCCCCCCATCCTCCCCAGCCAGGGCCGAGCTGTTGCCTTATTGTAGCCTTGTGCCAAAGCCAGCTCCATCTCCAAAACTCAGACCAGGAAAGGAAGCCAGAATATGGATGAGATGTGAATGTCTGTCTGCCTGCTGCAGCACCCAGCCCCACAACGGGGCAACGGGATAGAGGAAGAATGGGCTGGGGAGATGGCCAGACCCCTAGGGTGCCCTGTTGGAGGGGCCTTGGGCATAGCATCCCATGGTGAAGCTCTGAAAGTGAGTATGCAGGGTTCCCCAGCCCCGTGGGCCCGCCAACAGCACACAGGGTGATGAGAAGTTATCAGTAAGAGCTCCAGTATCACAATTGTTATCGACACAAACAATAACTGTGATCCTTAAAGTTGGCTATGAGTAAATGAATATTCCAAACCCTTTTTCTCATTTGCTAAGTGAACCCTTTGATGGCTGTGCAGCAGAGCTCCACGAGGATTACATAAGAGGCTGAGAGCCACCTACCTGTGGCACATGGGAGTCAAGCCTAGAGCTGTCTCCCCACATCCCAGGCCCTGCTTGACGTTTCTCTTCTTTGAGCCTTGAGAACTGAAGTCAGGTGCTGGGAGATAGTCAGGTGAGGCTCTACCTCCATGGCCTGGGGTTCAGCTGGGAATTCCAAAGCTGATGGAGCCAGGCTCTGGGGAAGACTGTGATCCTGCAGAAGACATGGCAGTGACGAGCAGAGACGGGCTATTAGGGCTGCTGTATCTTCCTTTAGTATCTCCTTGTTCTTGCACCCAGACCAGGGAGAGAAGGGCCCGGAGGGACTAGAAGGCCCAGGCTTCTCTCTTCCACAAGCAGTGGTGGGCACTGGAGTAGCCCAGCAGCTGGTCTCTGTGCTCCTCCGCCCCTGTGGAACTCCTGGTTCAGTGGGGGCAGGCAGCACGGGAGAAGGTGACAGAGCTCGCATCTGCCAGCTCACTTACCAAATACCTTCATTAGCCATGGCCGTAGCCAGGAGCCAGAAACTCAACCCAGGTCTCCCATGTGGGTGGCAGGGACCCAACTGCTTAACCATCACCTGCTGCCTCTCAGGGGTCATACTGACAGGAGGCTGAAACAAGAAGCTGGAGTTGGGAATTGAACCCAGGAGGCACTCTGATGTGGAATGCAGTCATCCTAAGCACCAGGCCCAGGGCCTGCCTCTCAGTGCGGCTTTAAATTGTGCATGCTCAGTTGTGTGGGCACTAGAGGTAACAAAGTCCTCCACTCCTTGAGTGCTAACTATATGCTAGGTGCCTTAGTGCACTATAGTCCGCTCTCTTGATCAGTTCCATGTTCACAGATTAAACCAACCATAGCTAGAAAAAAAATGGGAAAAAATTATATCAGTACTGAGTAAGTAGACTTTTTTGGTTATCATTCCTTAAATCACAACATGGCAACCATTTACATCGTATTAGAGAAATCATAAGATGATGTGATTATATGGGGGTGGGGATGTGTGTGTGGATGTGTGAGTGTGTTAATACCCAAACACTGTACCATCTCCTATGAGACTGGACTGTCTTAGGATGTGGGTATCCATGGGGAGTGCTGGATACTGAGAAATGACTGCTTACCTTGTGAGCTGGCCAAGGACAGACTCAGGGAGAGGAAATGGTATCTAGAGGGTAACCAACTTCAAAATGGCATGACCTGCAATTCACATCCAGACAGATCCGTGGGATCCCAGAGGGTTGGCCCGCTACCCCTCAGCCACAAGAAGCCAGCCTTGTCACCTGGCAGAGCCATGGGGAACCAGCAGATGCCCTTGCAGATGGGGGAGGGGGGGGCTGCGTCTTGTGTTCCTTGCGGGAGCAGTGTGGAGTGAGATCAACTGGTTCCATGTTCCGGATGGGGTTTGCAGCGTGCCAAGCACGGCCCTCTGAGAGGAGCATGAGTCAGGGCCGAGAAGGCCAGCTGAGTCAGCACCCCATGCCGGCACCTGGGCACTGGCTAGAGATGCTCCATCCATCCCTGACCCCCACCTCAGGACAGCCATACAGTGGTATGGGTTATGCCTGAACCAAGGACACCCGGGCTGAGGGCTGAGTTGGAGCTGAAACCCAGCCAGAGGTGGGCTTGCCAGATTGTGCACGTGGCAGGGCACTGTGTCCGACCGGAGGAGTCTGCAGGCTCTGGCGTAGGCGGCATTTGGGTCAGGAGCCTGGAAAGTTTATGCCTGAATGAGATCACCTTGTCCAAGGTCAGGTCCTACCCAGGACCATGCAGTCATCATCCTCCAGTGGGGGCAGGGACCCCCACAGAGCTGATGTGCTGGGCAGGGGTCTGAGGCCTTGATGGGTGCTGAGTTAGGAGTTTCTTCCTGGTCTCCCATGTGGATGTGAGGTGGCAGAGGTGCATCCTCTGCTGCTCTCCCAAATCACCAGCAAGCAGGGAGCTGAATTGGAAATAAAGTGGCCAGGACATGAACCAGTGTCCATATGGGATGCTGGCACCACAAGGGGAGAATTAGTGTGCTATACCACAGCACTGACCCTCTCAAAATAACAAAAAACATGACAAAAAAACCTCTCTGTACCACTCCCCGAGCCATCGTCCAGTCGGTCGGACCCCATGAAAGTCGGGAAGGGAAGTGACTAGCCCAAGGACACAGCCTGCTTCCCAGGTCCCTGTGAGTAGGTCCAGCCACGTCTGCCTCAGAGCCACCATTCCATGGCATTCTTCCCCAGGGATCCCCTACTCCCTCCGCCCCTCCCTTTCCCGTCACTCTCTGAGCCAGAAGCTGCTAGGAGCATCAAGCTCCGCGGATGGCTTGGTAAAGCACTCGGGCTGTTAGACGTTCCTTCTTGTACAATTTCATTCCAATCCCTATAAGTTTATTGGCAAGACGGGGTGTATTAGACCTGCCAAATCTAATGCATCAAGCCAGCGCGTCTGGGCCACGTTTTCCTCGGCAGTCACAGGAGGAGAAAGGTTTTAAGACGTTTTCATTTCCAGTGTCTGGCTGTTCCAGATCCCGTTACGGCCACTGGCTTCATGGCGGCTGTCCCTGTGTGCCCGCTGCGGGAGCGACTTTCTCCATAAACCCTGGACCGCCCTGGGTTGCTTCCTTGTCTCTACATCTCCTCCCTGATCCTTTTTCCTCCCAGGATGCTCTCTTGCTCTGTTAATCAGCTCTCAGCCTCATCCTGTTTTTTTGGTTTTGTTTGTTTTAAACCCTGGAGTCTGGAGCTTTTCCTGCCAAGTCCGGCACCTACCTTGTAACCTTGGCGAGGTCATTGCCCTTCTGGACGAGGGGCAGGTCTGGCCTCAACCTTGGCAATGCCCACAGGGTGGGCCTGGGTGCACCTGTTCTTCCTGTAGCGTAGAAGACCTGAGTCATTGCTGCCCACCTTGCGCTGCAGAGTTTCTGGGTCTGGGTTAATGGCTTGGTCTCCCAATGCTAAAAGGGGTCTTAAGACCCTGAAATGTTCTCATGTCCCTCTGAGATAGACTGAGGACCTGCTTCCTGAGAATCTAGAAGCTTCCAAGGGAAATCATTAGCAATTACTTTTTGAAACGTCTAAATTCTCTAAGCCCCAAGCTGCCTGTGGGAGACCGGATACCCAGCAGTGTGATGTTAGGGATCGTAGGTCACCAGCTGTGTGACTTTCAATCAGTCACAATCCGCGTCCCAAAGGGAAAATAGGGATTCAATTAAAAATTCAAAAAAAAAAAAAAACCACTTGCTTATTTCAAAAGTGGAGTGACACAAAGAAAGGTAAAGAGAGAAATGGACAAGAGACTTGTCTAGTTGTTCACTCCCTAAATGGTTGCAATAGTCAGGGCTGGGCCAGGCCAAACCCTGGAGCCTGGAACTCCATCCTAGTCTCCCATAGGATGGCAAGTGCCCAGCACTTGGGCCATCTTCCATTGCCTTTGCAGGCACTTTAGCTGGGAGCTAGATTGGAAGTGCAGCAGCTGGGACTCAAACCAGCCCTCTGGTATGGGCCGGCATCATGAGCAGTGACTCTACCTACTATGCAACAATGCCAGCCCTGGGTTCTGCAGTTGTAAGTCAGATTGTCACAGTTGTTTGCTGAGATGATAGTGTCTGAGCAAGTATGGAAGAAGCCAAATAAGTAAAAGTGGGCAGGTGTCTGTGGGCACAACTCAGGCTGGGGGCACAGCAGGTGAAAATACTGGGAGGTGGCCGTGTACCTGGCACATGTGAGGAGCAGAGAGGAAGCAGCTGTGGCTGGCATGGAGCAAGAACACGGGTTGTGTAGGTCAGAGGTGTGGCAGGGAGGGGTGTGGCTGGCAGAGGATAGGAGATGGTACTTCTCTCACCAGGCTGCCCGTTAGTATTCCCTGGCAAGCCTGAAAGCACACCTGTTAGGCCTCCCCCACCTGCTTCTGCCAGGTGGGCGTGGGGCATCAGAATCATTCCCAAGACATTTCTGGAATGGGGCATCTTAGGCCCTGATCGTCAGCTAGAGGGGTTTGTAATAGAGGAAGGTGCATGAAGGGAGACCTTGGCTAAAGCCCTTCTCCCGCTGATGTGTGCCCCTGGATTGACATGGCGTTTTCTGTAATGGCCTGACCCCAGTGCTTTATGGTTTCCCAGGCAGTGGCAGCAGCTGGTGCAGGTGGCCATGGGGAAGCGATACTTCTGTGACTACTGCGACCGCTCCTTCCAGGACAACCTTCACAATCGAAAGAAGCACCTGAATGGGCTACAGCACCTCAAAGCCAAGAAGGTGTGGTATGACATGTTCCGAGGTGGGTGTCCTCTTCCCTGGGCATCGGAGAACATATGGCTCCCCAGGGATCCAACACAGAGGCCTAGTTCCTGCTCCACCCCCACCCCCTAGGGACCCTTGGGGGGCTGGCTGGAATGTGAGCATCTGTCCCCAGTGACCTTGATCAAACACTAGGCACTCCACACCCGGGAGGACCACGGCCAGAAATAGGGGTCTCTCTGAGGGGTAGATGTTTGAGCCAGCCAACCCAGTCTGGACTGAAGACACGTACAGAATCAGGCGGCCCTGAACACAGCAGCTGGAGCTCTTAGAGAGGCAGGGAGAAGGTGTAGCTAGTGAGGAGAATAGTGGGCCCTGAACGCTGGCAAGGGGTCAGGGACTGGATCTTCCAGGTCTGTGGAGGCCATTGCCTGGAGGGGGAATTGTTCAATGGGCAGAGGTCTGCCTTGGAAAGGTTCAAGTAGTGGCTGAGGCCACCAAACCCTGCTTTTGACCTTGGCAGGTGATTCTTGTTCAAGGCAGTGGGGTATGGTGACTGGCTGTTGAATGACTTGTGGTTAGGCTGGAGGGACAAAGAGAAAGAAAAGAGACTGGAGAGTGGGTGCAGCAGGGTGACTGGGCTGAAGTTGACAGGAAGTGCCTGTTGAGGGACAGAGTGTGACCACGCAGCTGGCTGTCACCAGATGGTCAGGGCCCAGAGCGTGGCCCAGCAGGAGGAGCCGTGGAAGTGGAACCCCTTGCCTCCGAAACTCCTGGGACAAGTCAAGTGGACTGTGATTCCACAGGCAGGCTAAGGAGCAGGATGAGAGGCCAGGGTCTAGAGCCCAGGAGGAGAGTTCGGAGTCCCAGTAGCCAAGCAGAGAGGAGAAGGGGAGGCAGCGAGTCCCCTGGTTTGGGAGTGAGAGAGCCAGGGATAAGGACAAGACCCAGACCCAAGCCATCGCCCCCACCCCCACAAGATGTCTCATCCCCTTTGCCTGGGAAGCGGCTGTCACAGCAACGTCCCCTCCCAAGAATGTGACAAAACCCTAGTCATCTCCTCCTATGACTGCCATCAGAAGGGATTACTCAGTAGGAACAGCATCCCTGGTCCCTTAAAGGGATTGGCCCCAGGCCCTTTGCCTCTTATCCAGGGGCTCATTCAGCTCAGCCAACGCCAGCTGAATGGGTCTTTGGCTGCCAGACTCCAGTGAGCTCTGAAGATTCAAAAGTGAAAGGCTATGGTGCCTCCTGCCTGATGACCTTGCATGGGTATAACAGTGTGCACTGCCAGCCTCCTCCTCCCACTCTGACTACGCTGCCCCCCTGCACTTTCTGAGGCATGGGCTATCCCCTGTGCAAGTACCAGCAGCACCCCTCTCCCGTATCATGTTGATCCCCCCAACCCACGACCAGGTCAGGCCCTTTGCCCCCTACTCCGTGTTTACCTGGTTTATATCCACATGGGAGTAGTGTGGCTGCTGGCCTGGAAGGCAGGGCCTGCTCAGACTTGCTATCCGCTTAAACCCTCGGCTTGGCTTGGTGCCTGGCACATAGGGCATGTTCTGCAAATGTCTGGTAGCTGGGAGTCTAAATGAGTGAGCAAATAAACTCAGGGCACTCAGGGCAGCTGTTAATGTGGGGGAGATGAAGCGAGAAGTACCCAAAAGGGTCAGATCATGAGGAGCCGGGACAAACAGGTGCAAGAGAACAGGCTTCTGCGGCAGGACCCAGGGCCCGGACACCTCAACCCTAGGTGCCCTTCAGACCCACTAAGGAGCTTGGAACAATTTCTGAAGCTCAGAGGGGTCAGGGAGTCCTGTGTATCCATGTCCTTAAAAAGCTACCCGATGATGATTCTTTTTTCTTTCTTTTTTTTTTTTTTTAAGATTTACTTATTTCTATTAGAAAGTCCATGCCTCAGAATGTGCAAGAGGCAGTGTGGTCAGAGTGGGGGAGGAGGCTGGCAGATGTACAGAGAGGAGGAGACAGAGAAAGATCTTCTATCCGTTGATTCACTCCCCAAATGGCTGCAATGGCCAGAACTGCTGATTCAAATCCAGGAGCCAGGAACTTCTTCCAGGTCTCCCATGCGGGTGCAGGGTTCAAGGCTTTGGGCCATCCTCAACTGGTTTCCCATGCCACAAGCCGGGAACTGGATGGGAATGGGGTGGCCACCAGGATTAGAACCAGTGCCCACATGGAATCCCCCTGCATACAAGGTGAGGACTTTAGCTGCTAGGCTACCACGCCAGGTCCTACCCAGTGATTTTTTTTTTTTATCCTCACCCGGTGATTCTTAAGCGTGGCTGCAGTGGTCAAGAGCCTACAGTTGGATGCCGGGAAATCTGCAACTCTGATCCCACACTGAAGCGTCCAGCCCCCTGCTCACCTCCACTATCTTAGCCTGGGGGTCCTGGGCAATATTTCATGCCCCGCCCAGCCCCCTCTTCCAGGAAAGGTAGGCCGTGGTGCCCTGGCACCTTAGCTGCATTCCTGAATCTGAGCAGCATGGCACTGACAGACCCCTGTGCACCTTGCTGGTCTGACTCACGGCTGTGCCGGGCACTCCCGCCTGAAGGAAGTTCCTCTGATAATTGGCTCCCCCAGCAGATCACCATTTCCTTAACTTCCTGGGGCCTCTTCACTCTCACACAGCAGAACTCGAGTCTGATGCTGGCAACTCCCTGGCTGCTTGGTCCTGGCCACATCATTGCCACTTCTCTGAACCTCAGGACAGCACGGAGCCCTTCTCTGCTGCCTTTCCCATTGGCAGGGAGTTGGATCAGAAGTAGAGTAGCAGAGACGTGAACCAGTATCCATGTGGGACACTCGCAGGCAGGAGCCTTTACCCACTACTGTACCATAATTGCACCTTCTTCCTGGTGATTCTAACCTGCACCTGGTTTTCCTAACAGCACTGAGGAGTGGGAGGTTTCCTCCTCTTTCTGTTGAGAGAAACAGGTTTAGAGAGAGGAAACAGCTTGTCCATGGTCAGTGTGGCCAGATGTGAGCTCAGGTTTCTTGGATGTTGAAGGCTGTGGTCTTGCCTCTACCCCAGAGGCCTCCAGCTTTTGTCCCGGGTGGCCTGAAAGGCCTGCATCAGGACACAATCCTTGGCATCTTAAGATTTTGATGGACTCGGGCCCGGCATGATAGCATAGCACTTAAACTCCACACCTTGAGTGCACTGGGATCTTATATGGGTGCTGGTTCTAATCCCAGTGGAGTGGCCCCGCTTCCCATCTTGCTCCCTGCTTGTGGCCTGGGAAACCAGCTGAGGACAGCCCAAAAAACTTTGGGACACTGCACCCATGTGGGAGACTCGGAAGAGGCTCCTGGCTCCTGGCTTCAGATTGGCTCAGCTCCAACTATTATGGCTGGTTGGAGAGTAAACCATCAGACGGAAGATCTTTCTGTCTGTCTCTCCTCTCTGTATATCTGCCTTTCCAATAAAAATAAAATAAATCATTAAAAAAAAAAAGATTCTGATGATCTGAAATCTTACCTACCCAGAAGCCTACAAAACTGAAAATAACAGGGAATTGGGATGTTGTGTTGCAGGGGTTATGCCTGTATCCCATATCATCACAGCGTCCAGGATCCATCTCTGCTTGCGGCCTAGCTTCTTGCTAATGTACCCTGGAAGGCAACAGATGGTGCCCCAAGTCCTTGGGCCTCCATGCCCACATGGGAGACCCAGAGGGACTTCCTGGTTCGCAGCTTCGCTTGGCTGCTCTCTGCATTTGGGAAGTGAGCTACAAGCAGATCTTTTTTCTTTCTGTCTAACTCTCTCTCTCTCTGTTGCTGTCCTCTCCAATAAATAAACATAGACATTTAAGATTAAAAGGAAAACCTGGAGCCAGGGAAGGGATACCTATATTAACAGAACTGGGAGGAACCAGAAGCTTCATCTGGGTGCACGTGGGCCATCTTCCACTGCTTTCCCAGCTCCATTAGCAGGAAGCTGGATTAGAAGTAGAGCCAGATCTATGGTACCGAAATCTTTTTTCAAACTCCCCAGGTTGGGGCTGGCATTGTGGCAGGGCAACTTAAGCCTCTGCTGTGGTGCTGGCATCCCATTTGAGCACAGGTTCCGATCCAGCTCCCTGCTAAATGCACTTCGGAAGGCAGAGGGTGATGGTCCAAGGAGTGCTTGGGCCCCTATCACTCATGCGCAGACCCAGATGGAGTTCCAGGCTCCTGGCCCACGCCTCGACCCCTCACCCCGCGTCTTCCACCTCCCACTTGGTCACCTCACCCTTGTCTTCCCTCACAGATGCAGCTGCTATCTTGCTGGACGAACAGAACAAGCGGCCCTGCAGGAAGTTCCTACTCACAGGTATCGCGCTTTGCTCAGCTCCCTCCCGCCAACTCAGGGACCTGCAGTGCCTGCTTGGGCCCCTGCACAGTGAGTGGCCCAGTCCAGCCCTGACTGTGACAGGCAGCTGAGAACAAACCAGTTGATGGAAGAAAGATTTCCCTCTATCCCTCTCTTCACCATTCAAATAAATAAAAATGAATACATACATATAATTTTTTTTAAAGGCAAAAATAAGATGAAGCCAGGAGAATAGTCTCTGCCAACACTGCCCTTGTGGACCCCTGCAGGTTTGATTCTGAGCTTCCTGGCAGCCAAGGCAGAGAGGAAAACCGTGAAGATCTGTGAGGTTCCTTGGGGAGAGATTTACCTGTAGAGCCAGGAAGATCTGGTGGAACGGCCGTGTCCCTCCGTCGCTGTCCCCACCATGGAGCTCAGCCCTGCAGGTCAGGGGCCTCCTTGCAGAATGACCTTGACATAGACACGCTGCTGCTGGGTGACACTGACCAGGACCCCTCCCTCGCCTTCCATGATCCTGAGAAATATTTTGGTTTCCTTGGTGGAGCCTGGGGAAGCCACCCCGGCTCTGGCCACAGCTGTCCCTGGAGCCTTTCCCACAGAGCATACTGGATACTGAGTGGGCATGGGGACAGAGTCTAACTTTTTCTTAAAAGGATCTATTTATCGGATCCGGCGCAATAGCATAGTGGTTAAAGTCCTCGCCTTGCACGCCCAGGATCCCATATGGGCGCTGGTTCTAATCCCGGCGGCACTGCTTCCCATCCAACTCCCTGCCTGTGGCCTGGGAAAGCAGTCGAGGGTGACCCAAAGCCTTGGGATCCTGCACCTGCGTGGGAGACCCAGAAGAGTTAAAAAAAAGGATCTATTTATCAACTTATTGGTAAGCTGTAGAGAGAGAGAGAGAACCTTCCATCCCCTGGTTCACTCCCCAGATGGCCACAATGGCTTAGAATGGGCCAGGCCAAAGCCAAGAGCCTAGAACTCCATCTGGGTGTCCCACACAGGTTGGCTGGGGCCCAAGCACTTGAATCTTCCTCTCAGGAACACCAGAAGAATATGGGGGCGTTGTTTGTTTATCCAGTTTAGAGGCTGCTACTCTTCAGGCCCTAATGCTCCCCCGCCACTCTGCCCTTAAAGCCCTGGGACCTGTCATCATCACCAGGGCACGTGAGAGCAGCCCCTCCTCGAGCACTGAGTCCTTCTGTCTTCCCCCCACAGGCCAGTGTGACTTTGGCTCCAACTGCAGATTTTCCCACATGTCTGAGCGAGACCTGCAGGAGCTGAGCATCCGCGTGGAGGGTGAGTCTGTGGGGGGACCCGTGAGGCCTGGACTGAGAGTGGACTACTGGGAAGGTGAGGAGTTTGAGACTGGGGGTGCTGCTGTGTGTCTCCTCCACCTACCTCTTACTGACTTGTAGTCACCACATTGGTGGGACAAACTAGAGGGTGCCCCGAAGGACGGGGCAGCCCTGGGCCCTCAGCTTGGGAAGGTGTCAGGAACAGCCTCTGGCTTGCTACAGACACCGGAAGGAACCAGGCTGGTCCCCCGGAAGTGGGGCCTCTAGGGGTTCCTGTCCGGGAGCTGCAGGATATGCCACAGCATCCCCCCAACCGCTTGGCCTGGCTCTAGTCTCTGGATCCTCCTCCTCCCACTCTTTCACTGAGTCCCCACAAGGCTCAGAGGATAAAACGAGAGTCAGGAAGCCTCTCTCTGCCCTCAGGTCCCTCAGAACTTCCGGAGAAACTGGCATGTTCAGCTGTTTCAGAACCAGGCACCTTCACCTTTGGGAAATTCACTTACCGCTTCCCAACTAAAGACCCAGGAACTAGGAACTCCACTTAGAATCTTTCCGCAGTTCCCATTGCCCCTCATGGAACAGGTGCAAAAATGGAGGATCCAGATCCAGAGAGACACTACAGGAAGGGGAGACAGGAAGAAAGAGAGGCGGGCAGGACCGTCCTCCCTCTGCCAGTGCCCTGTGACATGGCTGTTTGGGAAGATGAAGCGAGAGGACCCTGGGCAGTGCTGACCCCGTGCCAGCCCCCAAACTACGGGGGGAACCTCCAGGCCAGGCACCCGGACCCTCTGACCCATTCAGACACTCTCGCTGCAGGCACGAACTTTGCTCATCACTGGGTTTTGATTCTGTAAGCAATAGTTTCCACAGGACCCAGTCTAAAAGCGAAATCCAGGGAAACTGAGGCTCAACACCCTGCCTCAGCCAGGGACCCAGCAGGAGCCACAGCCGAGGGTCATCCCCTGTCCTCCTTGAACCTGGTGGTGGACACCCCCTTCATACTCCAAGTCAGACCCCTTGCCCTCACAGTCATTTCCTGACTCTGCAAAACTGAGGAAATTTGGAGGCAGGCAGAGTGGGGCCCGGTGAGGCGGAGGCTTGGTGGAGACAAGCTGGTGGTCCTGCATCCCTGCCAGAGGTGGCTGCAGCAGCTGAGGGCAGGATGGGCTGTGGCAGGCAGGAGTGCACCCCTCACTACCTTGGCTTCCCTGTCCCTCGCAGAGGAGAGACGCGCCAGGGAGTGGCCGCTGGACCCACCCGACCTCCCAGAGGGTCACCTGGAGGACTGGCTGGAGAAGAGAGCCAAGCGGCTGAGCTCAGCACCCAGCAGCAGGTACACACCCAAGGACCCCTCAGCTCATGATCATGGAGGCGCAGTGGGGGCAGTGGGGAGGGTGGGGATGATGGAGTAAGACCCCAGCTTGCCTTCCCTTTCTGGGAGCTAAGGGGTCTCCCAGCACAGGAGCCAGACACCAGACATGCCCCTCCTCCCCACCCAAAGCTGTGGGTGGCCAGGTGTTGACCAGCCATGGAGGGAATTCATGGTGCTTGCTCCTAGGCCTGGAGCGGCTCACGCTGGCCGAAGGCATGTGGCCAAACTGACCTGACTCTGCATCACCAAGGCCATTGCTAGAGGGAGGGGTCCAGTGATGGTTGCCATGCCGTCCCTCCCTGTGTACCAGTCACTATGCACCTGATACCCACTGTCTCTCACCTCACAGAAGAGGAAACTGAGGCTCCCAGGAGAAGTGTGACTTGCTTGAGGGCATACAACTAGAAATACACCTGCACAGGGGTACATTCAGGTCACTGTCCAGTGCCTCCCCAGGAAAGGGTTCTGGGCCCAGCGCTCAGAATGGGGAGCCCCTCATAACTTACATATATGTGTGGGGAGGAGGGCACATTGGGCCAGGACCCTTGGGTGGGTGGGTGAGGAGCTCTGGAAAGTGTCAGCAGCCCAGGGGCCTGCTCACCAGGTACAGAGTGGAAGCAGCTGTGGCCTGAGGGTCTGTACCCTATTCCCATCCCCCACACTGCTCTCCCTCTGGTCCCCCAGGCCAGTCACGGTCCTTCTCAGTGTCCACCTGCCTCCTAAGGGCCTCTCAGGCCACAGCAGCAAAAAAGGGGGCTGTGGCAAGGCACACATGCATTTGTTCTTGACCTTGCCCCAGCTGCCTCAGGCTTCCTGGTCACAGGGCCTGAGAGGCTCCCCTGCTGCCCTCCCTACCTGTGGGCAGCTGTGTTTTCTCACCTCTCACCTCTGACCTGTCTGTCGCACCACACACTGGGCCAGCTCATAATCGTGGGAACATGGAGTCCCTGCTTGCCCTCGTCTGGCAGCACGGGCTCACTCTGCTGGGCAGACTGACCCTCAGGGATCTGCCAGGAGCAGACGGTGGGAGGGACAGCTAGCCTCAGACACGCAGCCTAATCCCCTGGCCCAGCCAGTGCTTGTCCTTGCGTCCTGTTGGCTCTTCAGATTGTCACTTTATCCCTCCTAATCGCCCCCCTCATCGCCCCTCTCTGGGCCAGCGCCACCGTTCCGGGCCATCTGCCCCCTAATCTCAATTTCCTCCGGATGAGGACCACAGCTGGCTGGGGATGTCCAGGGAGGAATCCTGACCTTGCATACGGGGCAGAGAGGCCAGAGAAGCAACAGGCAGTGACCAGGCATGCATGCACTTGCTTACCCCATGTGGAGAGGGGACAGCGAGCTGAGCCACAGGGCTCAGGCCTTAAAGGTGCCTGTGTTCTGTCGAGGGGAGGGGGCCTCAGGGTGGACAGGGTCCAGTAGCTGGGTTCCCCACTCCCCACAGATGTGCACCATTGGCTGGATGAAGGGTCTGAGGCTCAAGGAAACGGACTCTCCCAGACCCCAGGCTTCCTAGGGGAGCCCCGCTGTTCCCATGCCCTGGTGGGGGAGCCCCGGCAGCATGTGGCTTAGAAGCTCCCTCCCTGCAACCACACAGCCTCCCCTACTCTCACCCTTCTCTGTGGTGGTACACGCGTGGATCTTGCAAATCCTCCCCAGGGCCGTAAGTCACAGCAGTGGCTGGTCTCTGCACTCTGCAGCCGGCAGTAAACCATGAGCGTGTGTTCGGAGATGTCCCTGTTCTTGCAGAGGCCGCTCCCCTACCCCCAGGGTTCCTGCAAGTCCTTAGTTCCCTACAGGTAGCCAGGTCCAGCCAGGAAAACTAGATGAGTGCAGCTAGCCAAGTCCATGGCTCCTCTCCCAACCCCGCACCCCAACCTCCACAGCAGAGGCTTCTCCACACATTGTACATGGCTGCCCTCTGAGCCTGCCTGGAGCTGTCAGGGCCTCACCTGGCCTGAAGGCTGGGTGGGAAGCTGGATGGGATGCAACTGGGGGATGCTGGAGCAGAGAGAATTCAGGGAGAGGGGCGGGGACAGGCACAGCATCTGGAGCCAGTGGGTGGATTGTGCCCAAGCTCCTGTCCCACCCCACCCCCGCCCAGACCCTTATGTCTCTTGGACTCAAAAACCCCTGCACCCTAGTGGTTGCATATATAAAATGGGTACACGTGAGGATTCTTGAGGAATGACTGGGCCATTCAGCAAACCTTGTGTCATGGTGGCTCCCTGGCACCAGGCCTGCTCTGGGCATTGAAGCACAAACAGACCCTCCCTCCCCCAAGTCCCTACCCACTCTTTGCCCTTCATCTCCCATGGAGTTCAAAGTGCTTCACAGTCTGAGCAAGACCCCGCACTGTGGAGAGCAGAGGAAGGGGGTGGCAGCTAGAAGGATCCCAGTGCAGAGTAGGTAGGGGGTAGGGGCCTGGGTCAGCTCTGGCAGGACAGGGTGCCCAGAGTGGGTAACTTTAAAATGTGGCTCTGAGCACTGGTTGCAGGGACTTGGGATACTTGAGGAGAGTAGCATGAGAAATGAGGCTTCTAGAAAAAATTTAAGACAATTTTTTTTTTCTGAATTCAAAGGCTTGCGTGCTTGTCAAACTTTTGAAAAGTATAAAGAAGGCTGTTTTTTTTTTTTTTAATCCCTCCTGGTTGCATGTTGCACCCCTCAGACAGAACCACTGTTAACATCTCACCACGTTCTTCCAGGCTTTTTTTTCTTTTTTTATGTATTTATATATGTTATATATCTTTAAACAAAAATAGTATCATGCTATATACATTATTTTATAAGCTGCTTTTTCTCCCTACCCACATAATATGTCTGTCTTGGTCAGTGCATATAAGTCGGCCTTAGTTTCACGGCAGGCTGCATAACATTCTTGGCTGTGCGCGTGCATATGTAAGTTTCGGTACCCCACAGGTGGACACCCAGGTTACTTGCGCTCCCTTGAGGCCATGCTTGGAGCTGGGGCTCAGGCCCCCACCTCTGCTGTGTCCTTGGGCTCAGCTCCTGGGGGTGCAGGGGTGAGGGCAGGGGTTGCTGGCTCACAAAGGCTCTGTGGGTTTTCAAGGCTCTTGTTTCCAGAAAGGTCACGGCAGGCTGCTGACCCTCCCACAGCCAGGGAACTGGGGGGAGGCGGGTAAAGAGAGGTCGGGGGGTGGGAGACATTTTTGTTGGTGGGTGAGCCCCACTCTAAACACTCTGCTTTCCTCCTCTCTAGGGCCGAACCCACCAGAGCTACCGTCTTCCAGTACCCCCTGGGCTGGCCACCGGTCCAGGAACTGCCCCCCTCACTGCGGGCACCCCCACCCGGAGGGTGGCCTTTGCAACCCGGAGTCCAGTGGGGCTAACACCGCCTGCCCCTCACCTAGTCAGCTGTCGGTCATGTGAAATACAGGGACTGGTACCCAAGAGGCCTTACTCCTTCCTGCCACACCCATGGAGCTTCTGAGACCGAGGCTCAGGCACGCCCTCACGGCAGGTGCAACCCTCTCCTCCACCCTGGCAACTCTGCCTTCCCTATCCCCACCCCCTTTCCTGGGATGTCTTCAGAGAACGGGTGAGAAACTTCCCAACATTAATAAAGTCTATCCCCATGGTGACTAGCTGCGTGTCCCCCTGTGTGGCGCTCGGAGCCATTTTGATGAGCTTCTGTTGGTCTCTCGGAGGCAGCAGAGCCTCAGCATGGCTGGGCAGTGTACCCATGCCCATCACCCAGAGTGAAGAAGAGCCAAGGTCTCCACCTGCTGCCCCAACCCCCATGTCTGCCCTGCCAGGTTGGTACCAAAAGTTTGGGACAACAGATTTGGGTGGGGTGGGGGATGGTGGGGAGGCACAAGAGTTGGGTTTCCAAACTTGAGGCATAAGGAAGTTGGGGCACCCAGATGGTAGGCTCTGGGCTTGGGCGAGGGGCCAGCTGAGCTGCTTGCCACTGAAAGGGCTGGGCTGTGCCAGTGCGTCTACCAGGAGCCCTCGCAAGGTTCTCCCCTGGGCAACAGTGGAGGTGCCACACAGGCTGCCAGCCAGTGGGTGATGTGACCCTGGGTGGCTGGGCCTCCAGCAGGGGGCCTAAGATCTGAAGGGATGTCCACTCCACACTGCTGAAGCAAGGACTGAGGTCCAGCCAGTCTCAGACTTCCTGGGCCTCCATCTCATCACCTGTGAAATGGGCGGGTATGGCCCAAGCAGACATGGGGAAGAGGAGGAGAAGGAGGGCTGCGTTTGGGACTGAGGGCAGTCAGAGGAAGGGACCTAGGGCCTCGGGCCAACCTCAGGGTCTGGGACTGGGGTTGGCTGTGCAGCCCCAGGCAGACAGCTTCCTTCTCTAGGCACAGGGTATCCCATCTTGCCTAGAGGACCACAGCGATAACAAGGTCCCGGCGGGGGGTGAGGGCAGGGAGCCACAGGCTAGTGTCCTGTCTAAAGCCCTCCCATTTCCCAGGAGCCCCTGAATAGCAAGAAGGGTTATCGCTACATACAGGCCCAGGGTGGGTGGGGACACAGGCAGGCTGTTGGGAAGCCCTCACAAGACCTTCCACAGCCAGACCATGGCTCCGTGCAAGGCCAGTGAGGTGGAGGTCCTCCTCTGACACCTGGGCCCTGAAGGGACACATGACAGGTGGCCCATGGTGGTCGTGGGCGGGGACCTGCCAAGGAGAGGGCTGCAGGTGACGGTGGTGATGGGCATGGGTGGACCCGGGCACCGCGTGCGCCAGGAGGGGCGCCCAGGCGGCACCTACTTCATGCCGCTGCGCAGCACCTGGTTGGCCGCGATGAGCATGACGCTGATGATGAAGGCGATGGCGAAGGCGCAGATCAGACTCTTGCGCACGCATGTCTGACGAATCTGCTGGTTGGAGCAGGCTGCGGCCACCGCCAGGGGGCGCCAGGGAGCAGGGAGAAACACAAGGGCGATGGTGACGCCATGGGCTTGGGAGCCAGCCTCTGGGGGACCCCCACTCCACCTCATCCCCGGGGGAACACAGCTCCAGTCCCCCCACAGGCTCCGGGGCCACTCACTCTCCACGTCCACGGGGCACTCCTCAGCCGTGCCCAGGTGGCTCTCCTCCTCGGTCATGATGATGTTCTCGATGTCCTTCATGGACAGGTGTTCGCAGAAGGTGTCATACAGCAGCCGCTTCAGCTCGTCCACCGTCAGCTTCTGCATGTCGCACTTGGGTGGGGCCAGAGAAGACACAGGGCTCCAACCGCCACCACCACCCCCCATGGCTGCCCCCACACCCTCCAGCCTCAGGGGCCAGACATGCTTGCCCCTGACCCCCCAGGAAGCCCACAGCCCCACAGGAGGCCAGACATCCAGTAGAGAGGACCACGCCGCCATTGTCACCACCCCAGAAGGGCTCCACAGAGCACTCAGCCCTGAGGGCCAGGCAGCCCGCCGGGGTATATACCTTCCAGAAGACGGTATCAAAGTCAGTGCCGTGGAACTTCTCTGGGATCCCTGACGTGGACAGCTTGGGTCCCAGGAGGGTCACAAACTCTTCAAAGTCCACTTGGCCATCACCTGGAGCAGATACAGGTCTCCTCAGTGGGTCACAGCCTAACCCTGCCAGGGCAGGGAGTGCCAGGCACTGAAGGGAGACTACTGAGCCTGGAGCTAAATTCCAGGATGCTGCTAACAACCCTGCCAGGAGAAGTGGAGGTGGTCCCTGAGCCGGAACTGCCCATGGAACCCCAGCTGCCCGATGCACCTGCCCAGCCTGTCACACTCTGGATGGGGAGAGCACAGCTGGGGGGGTGGTCTAATGTTACTGATCCTCTGAAGTAATTACTGGCAGCCAGTGGGGAGGCAGGGGGACAGTTATACTTTGGTTAAGAGGAATTCCAGTACTGGTTACACTCAACTCTGCTTTCCTGGACACACAGAGGGAGCAGTCACTCTGATCCACACCCTCTCTGACCTCCACTCTCCAGGCTGGGAGATGGAACCAGACCTGGCTGGCTGCAACCTGCCACTCAGGTTTTGGTGTGGACAGGGAACAGGAAATCCCAGGGTCTAGGTGGTGTGCAGGGAAACTGAGGCAGGGTGTGGCGCTCACCGTCCATGTCCAACCGTTGGATGATAACCTCCAGCTCCACCTCATTGGGCATGTAACCCAGGGAACGCATGGCTGTGCCCAGCTCTTGCTTGGAGATGAAGCCATTGCCATCCCGGTCAAACACCTTGAAGGCCTCTCGGATCTCTGCAAGGGTGAAGCATAGCAGGCTGGGATGACACATTTCTTCCCTACAACAGCCCCCTTGCCGGACCCAATCCTCAGCCCCTTCCCCTTCCTCTGGAGGACCTGGCCCTGGAGGGGGGGATGCGAAGGATGCACCCCTGGCTGAGTTGAGCTGGCACCTGCCAAGGTATGCAAGGCCCCTTGCAGTGACCATCTTCCGGTCATAGGCTGCTGGCCTGCTCACAACGACCCCGTGTGGTTAGTTAGCCCTGAGCGCCAGCCACCAGGAGAATGCCTGCCGGTGAGTCCCCCACTGGAGCAGAGTGGCTGCTGGAGGCTTCCCCGCCGCCCCCTCTCCCTCCTCCATCCCCTCCCTCCTCTCCTGAATCTCTCAACAAGGCACCTTCCCCGTCCAGCTCAGCCCCCTCATCCCTGATGGGGTGGCCACACAGGAGGAAGCAGCAGGCTGAGGGGGGAAGCAGCAGATGGGGAGAAGATAGGGGAAAGATGGAGAGACCCCACCAGATTCAGGAGGCATCAGATGTGGGGACTCCCCCACCTCCAACACACATCTTTCTAGAGAAGGGCAACTAAAGACTGAGGCCTGGAGTGGCCCTGGAGTGGGGGCAGCAATGCGAGTCTAGTGACAAGCAATCCAGTGTATGACCTGGGCCCAGCCTCAGTCTTACACACTGTAGAATGGGTGGTCTGATATGGGGGATAGCAATGTTTTTACCAAAGATGTCCAGAACCTGTTGGGCAGCCCCTGACTTTTCAATCGCACCTGTTTCTCAACTGCTGTCCCCAGGGGTTTTTCTCCTGGGGAGGGGGTAGTAGGGAGCCTTAATCTACCAGCTCTAGCTGCCTGGTGGGGACAGGAGTGGTATCTCCTGGCCTTGCAGGTACTGTTCCTCTAAAGGGAATCCTGCATACAGAGTATAGCTCCATGTGTGTATATGTGTGTGTGTACTGTCCCATACCACAGGCCCTGAAACTGAGGCCCCAAGAGGCTGAGCAGCTGTTGTCTTAGATGATCTGTGAACCCCTGAACCTGCCCACAGGAGCCCACGCCCTGGCGCCAGACTCTGGACTCCATGGGATAAGAAAGCCCAGCCGAGCTGGCTGTCCCTGGTCCCAGGCTAGGGCAGAGAGGGCAGCAGTCGTATGTCCCAGACCACACAGGAAGCAAGTTGGCTCTGGCTGAGGTGCCAGCCCTCACCAGACAGTACCTCCTATCTGACTTGTGTACCCATGCCTGCAGGCCACACTGGCTCAAAGACCGAGAGGGACAAGTTCGTTGGTGTTTGGGGTTGCCTGCGCTCCTGGATCCTCTCATCCTTCCCCAGTTGGCCCATATAAGGCCTGAGCTTCTGGGGTCTTAACCAGTGGCCCCACATAGCCAGTGCACAACATACATGTAGTACAAATACAACACACAGTACAACATACTCACGTACCACGTACACATGCACACCACAGCCACACACTCTGCTGGAATACTTCTCCCAAACTCCAGCCCGGCATGGGAGTTAAGGGGGACCTTCTCAGCATGGGGGTGGGGGGCACCAGGACTTCTCCCCACTCATCTTTGAACTTGCAACTCCTGTGCCTGGAAGTCACACCATAGTGAACTCCGACAGCTGCACCATGGCCTGGTACTTCCCGAGGTTCTCCTGTCCCCGGCTGACCTTGGCCCTGCTCCAGGTCCCCACAGACCCTGCCTTCCTGGCGACCTTGCACTGACCACACTGGCTGGGTGCTGTGGGAGCAGGGACTAGGGCAGTCTTATTCACGGCTGTGTCCCCATGACCTGGCACACAGCTGATCCCTCGGGCACAGCTCTTGGCTGAATTAATGATTAAGTGAATGAATGCCTGATGTGGGCAGCTTAGAGAGAAGGGAGCTGACCAGGTCATGCCTCACTCAGCTACGCCAAGCCCACCCAACAGATCCAGGGGAGGCTGCCTGCTAACCCCTTCCCCACACCCACCTGCCCAAGAGGCTGCTCACAGAAGGGAAAAGACCAGGCAAAGGGGGGCTAGGGTATGATACCTTCCCTCTGGCTTCTCTCTGTGCAGGGGTCCACCTTGGGGTGAGGGGCAAAGTCCTTAATGGAGGGGCTTTCCAGCTCCCCCTACCAGGAGTGGGACATTTCCTGGGAGACCCTTCAGAAAGGCACTCAGCTAAAGGGTGGCCTGTGACGGCAGGTAAATCTTGGTGTAAGGAGGCCAGTGAGGGGCCCTGAGGCAGCCCAGCAGGCCCACAGCCATTTCTTAGGCCAGGCCACCCTCCCAAAACCACCAGGTAAATCCATAGATCGTGACTTCCAACCATGCAGCCTTCCCCCCAACTCCGTGTCAGTCTCACTCCCATGCCTACACGCCCACCCGGGGTTCCAAGACCTGCCCATATCCCAGCCCCAT